CGGCCGGGAGAACAGGGCTGAGGCTGCCGGGCGGGAAGGCAGAAGGAGAGCACGGGCAAGGCTTGAGGGCTTGGCTGAGCGAGGAGCAAGTGGACAGAGCGGAGCAGCCTGGGGCCGAGGAGGGCACTTGGGGAGGTGCCGTGGTTCCTGGTGACTCCCTGGCACCCAGGCGAAAGAGACGTGGGGTGGGGCAAAGGCTGTCCCCTTGGGCAGCAGCCCTCTGGCTTTGCCCTCCCGGCAGCAGTGGCAGGCGGGGCTGGAGCCCGTGCTGGTCCTCGGCCGGTCCTTTGGCAATCTCTGGGCTGCCTTTGCTTGCCCGGGTGCGCTCTGGGCGCCTGCCCTGCCCCTGCCCGCCCTCGCGGGGAGTGAGGATTTGGAAGGATGTGATTTCCGGAGCCCTGAGAGATGCCTGTCTGGGATTAACTCTTATCATCCCCTCCTAATGCTTCTTAACCCTGAATAAAGATCCCGCCCCGGCCTCCAGCTGCTGAGACCTAATCCTTGCAGCCACGGCGGAGGCAGCTATGGTTCCTCCCCAGAGCAGCACAGGCACCCCTGGCCCCCCGCGCTGCCCGGCCCCCCCCTCTCGCCCATCCCAGCCGCGAGCGCTGGCTCCTTGACGAGAGGCAGCAAATGTGCCGAACCGCCTCGGCGCAGCCCCAGCGAGCGTGGGCCCCAGGAGGAGCAGAGGGGCCCTGGCTGTAGCACCCAGCAGCAGCAACTTGCCTCTTTCTAATGGATTTTTTAAACCTCTGCTTCGCAATTATTTTTTTCCCCTTTGCCCAAGCTCTTTGTCAGTCCTTCAGCGATAAGAGCCTGCTGCCGTAGCGCTGGCAAGGAGTGCTGCGAGGAGCTGCGCCTTCTCCTCCCTCCGTGAGCAGAAAGTCTGCAGGGGTTTGCTGCCCAGAAGCGTCTTCTGCCTCCATCCCCCACCTAAGGCGATTCTTGCTCAAACCCGCATCCCCACTCCCAGCTCCTTCCCCCTTGGTGAGCCGGGAAATGGGCTCCCTTTGCTGCTGCCTTTTCTGTCCAGTGAAATTGCTTTCGCATGAGAGCCTCCTCCTCCTCCTCCTCCCCTTCGCAGCGCTGATTAGCCTGGCGTGGAAGTCCTCTGCTGGTGCCACTCCTCCCGCAGCATTTGCTGCTCCAGCATTGCTTTTCCTTGGATGCTTTTGGACGCTTTCCTTCCCACCCCGGGGCGATGCACCCCGCTCCCTGCCGCTGGTCACCAGTGGGACCCACCTGGTCTCAGTGGGGCTGCTGAACTCTCCTGTCCTGGCTTGCAAACCGCTGCAGCACCCCGTCCCCGCTCCATCTTCCCGCGTGTCCCACTGCTGCGTCAGGCCACGCAGCAGGAGCTCAGCCCTCCTGAAGCCTTTCTCCAGCATCACCAACTGCTCCATCGGGCTGTGATGCTCCAGCCCACAGCCAGGGGATTCATTAGTTCAGTGCCTTCTCTTTCTCCTTACCCCCAGGCTGCAGCCTCGCCTGCCTCCTCTCCCTCGCTGCTATCGCATCTGTAGTACACAGCCGCGCTCTCCGTTTCTAGTTGATGGGGTGGTCCTTGCACCTTGTTTGCCTTCTCTTAGTCCAACACGAAGCGAAATCCAGTTTCTCCCCTGCCTTTACCTGGCCGTGTCGCGCCTCCAGCCCTGTATCAGCCTTCCTGCCGAAGCCTGCCACGCGCGGGCACCCACACGGGGCTGCCCAGGCGTGTGCGTGGCTGTGCACACCTACCTGCTGGCAGCCAGCGCTCCCTGGGCCTTGGAGAACTCGATGATTTGGTCACTTCTTGCAGGTTTAAGCTCCGTAGCGGCATGGGGCAGGTTGTGAGCTGGGGCAGCTGTGTGTCCTGTCCTGCAGAGGACAGACACACGTACGTGGCCAGAAGCCAATCGCATGCGATAGAAGTGGCGCAGAGGCTGACTTAGGAGAAAAAAAAGATCCCTGCCCGTCAGACAGATCATAAATTTTGCAGGTCTTCATTTCATTTGCAGACTAAGCCACAGAAACGTGCGGCCCAGTAAGACCATTCGGCTCCCCCCAAACGTTCTGGCCCCGCGCCCTGTGCTGGGCACAGACGCCGCGTAGTTACCCTGCACTAAAGCAGGGAAATGCCCCGTGCGGGCTGTTACTCGCCATAGGCAGAGGAAAAACCAGAACCTGGAGGATGATTTTGATGGGCAGGTGCCCTCCGGCGCGGGTTCAGCTCCTCGCAGAGCGCAGCCGCAGACCCTCCCTTCGCAGAGCGGGCGGGCCGGGCTGCAGGACAGGATTTTGCTCACGTTGGCGCTGAAGTCTCATTCCTTGTTGTGGCTGTTGCAGAGGCAGTGGCGTGCGCGGGCTGATGCAGGAGCGGGGGCTTTTCACGTTGTCCAGGGTGCCGCGCTTTGCCGGGACCTTCCTGCTGGTGCAGAGCTCCCGCTGGGGATCTCGCCGCGGCAGGACGGCCGCAGGCAAGGCTGCTCCGCCTGAGCTTCCCTCTCGCTTTTCCTCGGCAGGTCCGACCGATCTCAGCATGAAAGGTGGGGCCTCCAGCACGGCCCCCTCCAACAGCACCAGCAGGGGAATGCAGGCTGCCCAGCTCAGCCCCACGGAGATCAGCGCAGGGCGGCAGGGGGTGCCCCGGAGTCGGCGGCGTTTCTGCTTCGATCTGCAGACGAACTGGAAAACCTCATTTTACAGCAGAACTGACTCCCCGTGTCTGCGTCGCTCCTCTGTCGAGAAGACAATTTATACCTGCGAGAAAGCGGCTCCCAGCGGTGTCCTGCTCAGGACCACCATCGTCCTCCCGTGCAGCGGCGGGTACATGTAGTTTTAGAAGGTGGAATCCAAAAGACCTGTTTTCTTTTACACTCCAAGCACCTGGGACTTCAGGCACAAGGACACGTTTTTTGAACCGTACCAACACCTGTGCGTCCAGCTGACCAGAAGCCAAACCTGCGGCTCGGGAGGATGGGGGACTTTCAAGGGCAGAAGGGAGCCTGGGGAGGTTTGGGGCTGCAGATGTATTTAGAATAACCTTTGTGGACCCAAATGTTAGATTCCCATCCCCAGATAATTTCCAAGTCTTAGGTGAGCTGAATCACATATTTATTGAGAAATGGACCCTCCTCTCCCCTTAGTAATTTATTTTTCTGAAAATGGATTCTTTTGAGTTTGTACAGATTGCCAGTTTTTTGTCTGTCTGATCAGAAGGAATTTATTCCTGTGAAATAACACATTCCATATCACTACACTACTAATTCCCAGGCAGCTCTGCCTGGTTCTCTGGGGAGCCCTTGTCCCACCGGGAGCAAGTTTGCCATCCAGCCCGGACCTCGAGGCTGCTCAGCCTCGGGTAAGCGTAGGTGGCAGCTGACCAACGGAGCAAGCAAGCGTCCGGCTTAGACCTTCGTTCTAAGCGATCCCGTAGCAGCAGTGGGGTCTAAATCTCCCGAGAGACTCGGCAAGCTCAGCAGACCTCCAGCTAGAAGGACGTCTCGCACTCATTTAAGTCATTGCAGATAAGAGAAGGAAGGAAGGAAGGAAATACCTGAGAAACACTGTCTTGCGGTCACCATCCGTACTCTACCTCACACTCCATTGTGGGCTTCTTCCAGGACTGGCCGAGCTGGTCCTGGGGGACGGTGAGTGTCGCAGACGCGTGGATCGCGCCGAGGAGGCTGGAACCAACCCGGCAGATCCAGTGGATCCGCCGGGGTCCTGCTGCGGGGCTGCGCCCGGCCGTTTGCTCCAGTCCGCGTGAGACCGACCTGGGGGAGCACCGGGAGAATAAACCGTTTAGGAACCGCCTGGGTGTAATAAAGGCTAAGGCCGGGTCTTTGCCGGAAAAGCGAAGACAGAGACAGGCAACATCCGGCAGCAGAACTGACAAAGTCCTCTGCGGGGCCCAGGATCCTCCCCCCTCCCTGCTCACAGTCCTGGAACAAGCCCACAGTTCCCAAAGTGTGGAAAAACCATAGTCCAATGACCATTCTGCCCCGCTACCACCCCCCACCCTCAATAATGCACTTCGTTTTGCTCAGTGCAATACCTACTACCAGTGCTGCTAAACCCAGGGACTTTGCTCAGGCACGGAGATGCTGAGCCGAGCCAAGCAATGCAACGTGCTCTGGAGCCACGTAGAGCAGCAGGGACCGGCTGCCGGGGATCCCAGCTCCTCCGCGCGCCCCCGCAGCCCCCCCCGGGCAGGAGTCCTCGCCACAAGATACGAATTCGATGAGCGTAAAGCCCTATGCGCTCGTTGTGAAGGTAGATACTTTCTCTGCTGGTCCCAGCCGGGAGCGGACCCGGGCGGCTCGCTCAGTAGCCTTTACACCCGCTTATACTCCCACACACTGGAAGAGAAGCAAAACCTCCGCCCTGCTCTTAGTCTCAGTACAGAAAACGCCACGGGCTCCTGAGGACCGGCTTGCCTGGCCCGGCAGCAGAAGGGATCAACTGTTGCATTGACTGTTTTCCCCAAACCGTAACCTTCCCGTAGCATTTGGAGAAAAGGGACCGAACCCCTGGCCCTCGGGCGTAGTCAGAGGTGGTGGCTTCTTAG